CACTTCTGGGGTGTGAGTTTTCAGTTGCATATTGTCCTGGGGACCATTCAGGCTTGTTCGCATTTGTGTTCCTCACGTGTGCCCCAAAGAATGAGGTGATTTGGTAAAATGCTATGCCCAAGATTACTATCCGAGTGCCGGCGGTGGGGTGGTTCAAATAGCCTCGGCTATCACCTCATTATGTCCGGTCGTGATGGTCAAGTGGATTAAGGCGTCTTGTACATACCAGTTGCGTGGCATCTGGGAGTATGGGTTCGAGTCACTTCTGGGGTGTGAGTTTTCAGTTGCATATTGTCCTGGGGACCATTCAGGCTTGTTCGCATATATATATATATATATATATATATATATATATATATATATATATATATATATATTTATTTATTTATTTATTTATATTGCGCATGTAACAAAACTTGCCTAACATCCAAATTTGTTAGATATTAAATGTTTCTATAACACAACGGTAAGAGATTTTGGTTATAACATATATGATAGAGATTTTTGCTTAATTTTATCCAAAACTAACATTAAATTAACCTAACCCACCTGGTGGTAGTAGTTACTGTGGGCGTGAACCCACTCTTTGAGGTCGGGCGTGAACCCTTTTTAGGACTTTGGGACCTTGCTGCCCAATCGTTTCCCCCGGCCTTGTGGCGCTGGTGTCCTTGTCTTGCGGCGTTTGTGGGATACTCGAGTATTATAGAATATTATAGATATTAATGATATTATTATAGGATATTGTAGATATTAATGATATTATTATAGGATATTGTAGATATTAATGATATTATTATAGGATATTGTAGATATTAATGATATTATTATAGGATATTATAGATATTAATGATATTATTATAGGATATTATAGATATTAAGGATATTATATGCAGCATTCTGACCATTCCCCAGCATGCCACCCACAACAGTCGACTAACACCGTGGTTCCTAATCACTGCTAGGTAAACAGAGGCAATGGGTGTAAGGAGACTTGCCCATATGTCTCGCCCTGCCTGGAATTCGAACTTAGGACGGTTCGGTGGTGAGGCAACCGGGCTATATAACCACTGCGCCACAGGTTACCCCTCGTGGTCGCTTGGCGTTGTTTGCCTTCGGTTAGTAGTCGTTTGTCTGAGTGGTCGTTAGTGTTGTTTGAGGTGTTTCTCTCTCTCTCTCTCTCTCTCTCTCTCTCTCTCTCTCTCTCTCTCTCTCTCTCTCTCTCTCTCTCTCTCTCTCTCTCTCTCTCTCTCTCTCTCTCTCTCTCTCTCTCTGCCGTACAGTGTGGTGGGGCAGTAATTACTAGAGTGACCTTTACATGTCGTGGCTGAGCTGAGGTGGTCGTAAACACTCCACCAGTCCTTGATGCTCTCCACGCCCCGAGTCCCACCCCATCCCCACACACATGCTCCGCCCACCTCATACATGCTCCTCCCACCCCACACATGCTCCTCCCACCCCATACATGCTCCTCCCACCCCACACACATGTTCCTCCCACCACACACATGCTCCTCCCACCCCACACATGCTCCTCCCACCCCACACATGCTCCTCCCACCCCACACACATGTTCCTCCCACCACACACATGCTCCTCCCACCCCACACATGCTCCTCCCACCCCACACATGCTCCTCCCACCACACACACATGCTCCTCCCACCACACACACATGCTCCTCCCACCCCACACACATGCTCCTCCCACCCCACACACATGCTCCTCCCACCCCACACACATGCTCCTCCCACCACACACATGCCCCTCCCACCACACACATGCTCCTCCCACCACACACATGCCCCTCCCACCACACACACATGCTCCTCCCACCCCACACACATGCTCCGCCCACCCCACACACATGCCCCTCCCACCACACACATGCTCCTCCCACCACACACTTGCTCCTCCCACCCCATACATGCTCCTCCCACCCCACACACATGCTCCTCCCACCCCACACATGCTCCTCCCACCACACACATGCTCCTCCCACCACACACACATGCTCCTCTCACCCCACACACATGCTCCGCCCACCCCACACACATGCTCCTCCCACCCCACACATGCTCCTCCCACCCCACACATGCTCCTCCCACCTCACACATGCTCCTCCCACCCCACACATGCTCCTCCCACCCCACACATGCTCCTCCAACCACACACACATGCTCCTCCCACCACACACATGCTCCTCCCACCCCACACATGCTCCTCCCACCCCACACATGCTCCTCCCACCCCACACACATGCTCCTCCCACCCCACACATGCTCCTCCCACCCCACACATGCTCCTCCCACCACACACATGCTCCTCCCACCACACACATGCTCCTCCCACCCCACACACATGCTCCTCCCACCCCACACATGCTCCTCCAACCACACACACATGCTCCTCCCACCACACACATGCTCCTCCCACCCCACACACATGCTCCTCCCACCCCACACACATGCCCCTCCCACTCCACACACAAGCTCCTCCCACCACACACATGCTCCCACCACACACACATGCTTCTCCCATCCCACACACATGCTCCTCCCACCTCACACACATGCTCCTCCCACCACACACACATGCTCCTCCCACCACACACACATGCTCCTCCCACCACACACACATGCTCTGCCCAACCCCACCTCAAAGATTTACACACCCACTACGAAACCTGTGCATCTCTCCTCGAACATGGTGGCCTTTTTTACTCGTTACAAAAACCAGTTTATGGTCAAAGGACCACGAGGTTGTTCACAACAATGATCCAACATTGTCTTGTGAAGTGTCCAATCGGCTTAATAAATGCAAAACAAAGCCGCCACGATAAATAAAATGATGTACAGGTTTCGCAAGTGGACGCGTAATAGCTTTTGACGACCCGTGGGCCGCAGACCAGGAAGCTGTGGCAACACAGCCCCCCGCACTGGGAAACCTGACCGCTCCCCCGCTACAATATCCCGGACCTGTCGCAGGGAATAATCAACCGGTTTCGTACGAGGTGCGGTAATCACTAGTCCTGAGGGAGCCACCACCCGTGAAGCACTTCCCGGGTCTCAGTATGCACTAACACCAACACCAACAACCTTCTCGATCAACAGTATGCTCGTATCATGTTGTCTAAGCAGGGTAATAAGGCTTGTTATCATAGTGTACTCTCCGTCACTATATGTATATTATACACTATTAAACTTCATCATATTCAGCTATAATTGCCCATTGTTTTCATGACACACCTTCAGGGCGGCCAACTCACAAGCTAAGAAACAGCCAAGAAACAGTCAAATCGCTGGTAAAAAGACTGCCAAATCACGGACAAGTAACAGCCAAAAAACTGTCTAATCACAGGCAAGAAATAGGCAAATCACGGGCAAAATAACAGCCAAAAAAAAAAAAAAAAAAAAATTAGGCAAATCACAGCAAAAAAAACAAAAACAAAAAAAAAACAGGCAAATCACACAAATTGGTCCACCACCAACCCATTATATATATATATTGTATTTACATGCACAAAATCATGTCTTCCCGATTAAACCACGTGAACGATCTTTCAATAACTGTATGATCAAACACCAATATTATCCCCCCCCCACACACACAAAATATCTTTTTAAATTGGGCACATCTTACTACTCCGGGAAATATGTTAAGTTCTTGAGTATATCCTAACTTATATTCCGGAAACATGGACATTCCTGCTTACATCTAAGTTCTTGTTTACATCCCAACTTATGTGCCGGCGAATATGTGTTGGTTGAGTTACCTTTTTTTTCAGCCACAATTATTGCTACTGTCTGTAAAGTAAGCAAACTGTATATTTTGTCATATCAACTTGAGAATTCGATTCTAAAATGCCGTTGACCATATACTTCTGGAGTCAGCACAAAAGATGGAGTAATAACCAGTATTATCAGTTGCTACAGACAGTATACTGTGTGTGTGACACTATTTAATACCACGAAAAAGGGCCAGATTGGCTCCCACAATTTCAGTAAATGATCACATATTAATTGACATGTTAGAGGGTAGGTTTGAGGAGTGTCTGCAACGGCGAGTTTGCCATCTACATCACACTCTTATTGCCCAATGAAACCACGAGGATGTGACGTATCTGTTAGAAACAAGTGACGCCGTACAATGGGATCGAACCTGCGTCCCTGGACTCCCCCCCAGAACACAACCGCTTAAACTATGACGAGCTAAAAGTATTTTAACCAGACTTGGCGTTCCTAAGGTACCAGCTGGTGGATTTAAGTTCCTCGAGTGTTTAGTATCTAATTAAGATACTTTTTAGCTCATTATGGTTCAGTTGGTATTGTGTGTGTGAGCCTGGGACGTCCAGGGGCCAGATTCACGTAAGCACTTACGAACCTGTACATCTTTTCTCAATCTTTGGCGACTTTGTTTACAATTATTAAAAAGTTAATGAGCTCCGAAGCACCAGGAGGCTGTTTATAACAATAACAACAACAACAGTTGATTGGCAAGTTTTCATGCTTGTAAACTGTTTAATAAATGTAACCAGCGCCGTCAAAGATTGAGGAAAGATGCACACGTTCGTAAGTGCTCGCGTAAGTGCTTTCGTGAATCTGGCCCAGGGGCGTGTGTTCTATCCCATCGCATGGCCTCAATATGTGATCACACTCTTATTCTCCACGTAAGGGAAGATTTGAGCTGTAATAATGTGTGAGTTACGAAGCCGTGAACCGGTTCCATGACTTGCGCGACCATATTTCTCTGGCACCCGCTCGAGGTGCAGGCGCGCCCTCCTTCCTTCCCGGGACTCTTGTTTTTGTACCCTTCCTTCTTTGGTGCCCCTCCCATGTACCCTCCCTTGTACCCTCCCGCATGCTCTCCCTCATGTCCTCTTTCGTACCTTCTGGCAAGCGCTCTCGTGCTTTCGTACCCTTCCTCATAGCCCTCTTCATACTCTCATACCATTGGCGTTGCCTTTTCCAGGTGACAGTATGCGCTAGTCACCCTCCCTTCATACCCTGGGCAGCGTCATGCGCAGCTGGCATGATGCGCAAGTGTTTAGTCTCTTTTTTCCAAGTCCAGCGGGGTCCCTTGGTTTGTTTACATGTGACGTCACGCAGTACATGTCAACACGCCTCGCGGAGTGATATTGTAGTTTCCAGAACTTTCCAGCGAAGGTTGTCGAGGCGTCTTGGCGGGACGTCAGACCTGTAAACATTCGAGGCTCTATAAAGAGCAAGTCATCATTCAGAGAAGAGGGCGATTGACTTGGTGCTCTACTTCCTATGATGCCCTATGATGCTCATTGACATTTAGAATGCTAACATATTGCATATAAAAACATAAGAATATAAGACTCAAGGAAACTGTAGAAGGCCTGTTGGCCCTATACGTGGCCACTCCTATTTATATCCACCAAAACTCATATATATATGTCTAACCTACGCTTGAAACAATCTAGGGATCCTACGTCTATTGTTTTACCCACACTGTACCTTATATAAGCACGTTATAGATGAGTAAGACTATTAGAACTGCCAAAGGACATGAATACTCTATATCAGGGGTGAAAGTTTGCCGGCATTCGGCACCCGGATTTATTTAAATTTAAGACACTATGGCATATTTGATCTTGCCGTGGAGTGTGAACGTTTGGCCTGTCGTTCAGGCTCGTCACTGCTCACAATCTGGATCATTCAATAGTCGTGGAATGAGCCAACGGGTGACCTACTGACATTAGCGCTTAGCAGTAACCTGATGGGCGAATGGTTGGACGAAGCTCGTTTCCTGATTATCAAAACCGTATGCGGATTGTTAGAGTAGGATGCATTAGCTTAGGTTAGGCTCGGTTGGGTAACATAGGTTGAGTGAGATTGGGTTCTATTGGGTTCTATTAGGTTAATCAGACGTTTGACAGTATTTTGTGTTCTCGACTGAAGTTTTCCTGACACTACACTTATCCAATTATTATCCACTGTTTTGTTTTCTATGCTATGTTGATATATCGTATTATTATCTCTTTTGTTATACCCCTTTTGTCCATTTGTATACCGCTGTTATGTCACCTCTATCCCCTTCTCCGTCTAGGAAGTGTAGATAACGTTTGTTAAATTCCTCTCTTCCTTCCATATATATATATATATATATATATATATATATATATATATATATATATATATATATATATATATATATATATATATATAATATGCGAACAAGCCTGAACGGTTTCCAGGCACATATGCAATTGAAAACTCACACCCCAGAAGTGACTCGAACCCATACTGCCAGAAGCAATGCAACTGATATACAGGATCCCTTAACCACTCGACCAACACGACCGGACAAAAGAGGATGGTAGCCGAGGCTATTTCCATCCCCCCGCCGGCACTCGGTTGGTAATCTTGGGCATGGTATTTTATCAAATCGCCTCATTCTTTGGGGCACACATAAGAAAGGCGTGTTCGCATTTGTGTTCATATATATATATATATATATATATATATATATATATATATATATATATATTTCAATGAATGAACTTAATGAATCCCTAAATGCAAGTAGAAATGGTCATATTTGGTCTGAGTGGGGACCGGCGGCGGACCGCCACTAACTGGCGGGACTAAAGAAAAATGGTAATTACGAGGGTTCGTTCCCAGAGCACATAGCCTAACCTCCAATTAGAAACATTATTGCAGTACTCGAGGGCCCTCCCAGCACGGGTAACTATGACAGTGACGTGGCCTAACACACAACGGTAAATGAAAATGAGGTTTCCCGACCTGAAAAAAACCGGTTGTGGGTCACCCCGCAAGACTTTTCTGTCCCTAGTAGACTGCTATGTTTTTGCTGGCGGGAGAGATCTCCTTCCGTTGGGTGGGGCCACCGCCACACCCCGTCCCCTGGTTGATACCTGGTTGATGGGGTTCTGGGAGTTCTTCTACTCCTCAAGCCCGTCCCGGGGCTTGGGGAGTAGAAATGGTCAGACTTGAATTGTGAGAGTTTGCTCCACCAGGCTGTTGCTTGGAGCGGCCCGCAGGGATACATACCCACCACAGCCCGGTTGGTCCGGCACTCCTTGAAGGAAACAATCTAGTTTCCTCTTGAAGATGTCCACGGTTGTTCCTGTAATACTTCTGATGCTCGCTGGTAGGACGTTGAACAACCGCGGACCTCTGATGTTCATACAGTGTTCTCTGATTGTGCCTATGGCACCTCTGCTCTTCACTGGTTCTATTCTGCATTTTCTTCCATATCGTTCACTCCAGTACGTTGTTATTTTACTGTGTAGATTTGGGACCTGTCCCTCCAGTATTTTCCACATGTATATTATTTGATATCTCTCTCGTCTCCTTTCTAGTGAGTACATTTGGAGAGCTTTGAGACGATCCCAATAATTTAGGTGCTTTATCTCGTCTATGCGTGCCGTATATGTTCTCTGTATTCCCTCTATTTCAGCAATCTCTCCTGCTCTGAAGGGGGAAGTGAGTACTGAGCAGTACTCAAGACGGGACAACACAAGTGACTTGAAGAGTACAACCATTGTGATGGGATCTCTGGACTTGAAGGTTCTCGTAATCCATCCTATCATTTTTCTGGCTGTCGCAATATTTGCTTGGTTATGCTCCCTAAACGTTAGGTCGTCGGACATCATTATTCCCAAATCCTTGACATGCTGTTTTCCTACTTTGGGCAGGGTTGATTGTGTTTTGTACCCTATATTATGTTTAAGATCCTCATTTTTACCGTATCTGAGTATCTGGAATTTATCACCGTTAAACATCATGCTATTTTCTGCTGCCCAATCGAAAACTTTGTTAATATCTGTTTGTAGTTTATCAATGTTTTCAGCAGAGGTAATTTTCATGCTAATTTTTGTCTCATCTGCAAAGGATGACACGAAGCTGTGACTTGTGTTTTTGTCTATATGGAGATAAGAATAAGGAACAGCTGTGGTGCAAGGACTGTACCTTGAGGTACAGAGCTTTTAACTGCGCTCGGCTAACAACTGAGCCCCTGTCTACGTGCTCACCATAGCCCGTGCTGCTTGGAACTTTTTGTTCCAAGTAGCGAATCTTAATCAACAACAACTGCCCCTGCTCCAGCCTCAGGGGTACTGGTGAGGGTGTACCGACGGGGCTCGAGTGCCACTAGTGCCACTTAGCTTAGATGCAGTAAATAAACCAATAAATATGAGTTGGGTAAGTTTAGAGGCAGGAAAGACCTGGGTAAATACTGGTTTTGGAAATAGGATTGTTGATCGATGGAACAAATTACCGGGTAACATAATAGACATGGGATCGCTGGGTTGTTTCAATCGTAAGTTAGACATATATGAATAAGTTTGGGTGAATATAAATAGGAGCTGCCTCGTCTGGACCAATAAGAGCTGCCTCGTCTGGACCAATAGGAGCTGCCTCGTATGGACCAATAAGAGCTGCCTCGTCTGGACCAATAGGAGCTGCCTCGTATGGACCAATAAGAGCTGCCTCGTATGGACCAATAAGAGCTGCCTCGTCTGGACCAATAGGAGCTGCCTCGTATGGACCAATAAGAGCTGCCTCGTCTGGACCAATAAGAGCTGCCTCGTCTGGACCAATAGGAGCTGCCTCGTATGGACCAATAAGAGCTGCCTCGTCTGGACCAATAGGAGCTGCCTCGTATGGACCAATAAGAGCTGCCTCGTATGGACCAATAAGAGCTGCCTCGTATGGACCAATAAGAGCTGCCTCGTATGGACCAATAGGAGCTGCCTCGTATGGACCAATAAGAGCTGCCTCGTATGGACCAATAAGAGCTGCCTCGTATGGACCAATAGGGTTTCTGCAGTTTCCTTAATTCTCCTGGTCCTATGGTCTGGTGACGTCATACATGCTGGACATCACCAGACCTGGAGGCTTTTGGAGGTTTTGCCCAGGGCCCCCCCCAAGCCTGGGCAAAACCTCCATTGCTGATTCATTCCGTAGCTGACCTGACGCGCTGATTGGAAACGGCGGTCAGATTCTGCCCGAGTCTGTTTTCTGCACTGTAATTTGGAGCTGACCACCACGTTTTATTCTGGAAAACGTTCAAGAATGTTCAAGAATGTTATACCTTTTGTCAAGTGAGAATTCTTGCCACGTGTGAGGTGATGTTAGTCGGTGTTGGAGTTCGTGGGACGTGAGTGGTAGTTGTAAGGGTTGTATTGAGGTGGTGGTGGTTGTTAGAGATTGTATTACGTGTTGTATTTCTGCGTTGGAGGTTGTAGTTTGTACAAGAGAACAATGGAGGCTACAGATAGCCTATTGGCCTATGTTTGGTAGCTCCTATTGGCCCACACATGGTAGTTCTTATTGGTCCACACGACGCAGCTCCTATTGGTCCACATGAGGTAGTTCCTCTTAATACACAACCAAACTCACTCATATATATGTTTAACCTACGCATGAAACCATCAAGTGATCCAACGAGTATTATGTTACCCGGTAATTTGTTCCATAATTAAACAACCCTGTTTTTAACAGCCCGTTCTCGGAGCAAATCCATTACCTCGAGACTCCCATATTCCCCACAAGCCACCTGGATAGTTGTCTGGGTGTTTGTGGTGGTCTGAAAACATAGTACTTTTCCAGTAATAGTCCACTTGTAAACTGGCAGTTGAACCTTGGTCCTTAACAGAATATTCACAAGTTATATCGTAATTGTATTATAAATCGTTGATTTAAAGTATAAAAAGTATATGCTGAAGTCGATTTCTTTGAAACGATCTGAAGAATTTGGTTTCTGTAAATGAAATTCTAGGGTACACTCAAATAGTTTTCGAATTTCATGTTTCACATTTGTATCAGTGATACACTGTATTAATGTAACCAAACGTAATGAAACTTAACCAAATCTAACCTTAAGCTAACTAACCAGGAATAGAGAGTAGATAATAACACCAATTACGAGTGGCTTTGAATCCATTACCTGCAGGGGGGGGGGATCTTCCCAGAGAAAACAGGTTACCGAAGCCAGTATTTTCTGAGGTCTTTCCTCAATCTAAATTTATCCCGTGTATATCCATTGTTTCGTGTTGTATTGTGTGTTGTCATATTTAATGCCTAATTAATAAGTAACGTCTTATATATATATATATATATATATATATATATATATATATATATATATATATATATATATATATACATATATATATATATATATATATATATATATATATATGTATATATATATATATATATATATATATATATATATATATATATATATATATATATATATATATATATATATATATACACACACATCACGAACAATAAGCATATTAATCAAAATTCTGAGTGATAAACACATTTCTTCCTGTACACATGGAGTATGTTACCAGATGCACACACAAATACCTTTATGACCAGGTACACAGACAATTTGCAATAAACATTCAGACAATTCAACAAAAAAGTTACAATCTTGGTGCACAAAATTCTTATATATATATATATATATATATATATATATATATATATATATATATCTAGAATATCATCACTCTTCCCGTTGTGACACATCCAGGCTATTTGTTCAGGAACATTCCCTTATCTCAGTGTTTCTATATACAACATTCAACAGACACTCAAGAATATAATGGGTGACGGTGTGGGACCTTAGCATGCCACCAGGACGGGTTGTAAAGCCAGATAAGAGATGAATGTTG